CCGCCGCCGCCATTACCACCACCGTCGTCACACCACCACCACCATCATCGCCACCATCACCATCACCGCCGCCACTGCTACTGCCACTGCCATGGCCACCACCACCATCATTGTCACTGCCACCACCGCCACCACTATCGTCGTCGTTGCCACCATAACTGCCCTTACCCCCCACCACCGCCACCACCACCTTTGTCGTCGCCACCACCACCATCGTCGTCACTGCCACCACCACCTTCGCTGCCGCCACGACTGCTATCACCACCGCCACCACCACCGCCACTACCACCATTACCTTCGCCGCTGCCGTTGCCACCGCCGTCCACTGTCGCCGCCACCACCACCACCACGATCATTGTCACCCACCATAACCAGCACCGTCTCCTACCACCCCCTCTCCACCCCCACTACAGACGATGTTTAAATTCATTTATCTCTCCTATATGTTTATGATTTGATTTTAAATATAAATATAAATATATTTATTGTTTATCATTTTTTAATACTCTGTACCTTCAGGCACATACAATAACTAATCTATATAATAAACTGTAATACAATTAAAATTTCAAAAGATAAACAAAATGACTTTTGCTATTCGTGGTTCAGATTTCTTTAAATTTTACTTTAAAGTTAATCTGACAGCTAATATTAACACTCTAAATTTAATATAAAAAATAGGACCTTAAGGATGTGTTTGAGGTGACTTTTTAAAAGTGTTTTTAATATTTATAACTTATAAAAAAAATAGTGTTTGAAACCGCTCCACCAACACCTCTACCACCACTAGCCTCACCGCCCCACCACTACCACCACCGCCACCCCACCACCACTATAGTTACCCTACCACACCTATCGCCCCATTACCACTACCACTGTCACTGCCATCATTATTACCATCCCACCATTACCTTTTCCACAACAACTATCACCACTGTCATTATCCCACCATCACCCCCCTTTCACATTATCCCCACTGCTCCCCAACCACCATCACCATTGTCACATATAGTTGCCACCATTACAACCGATTGTCATCATCCATCACAACTATCAATGTTTTCCACTACCACCACTGTCGCCCACCATCACTCTCACTGCTCACCCCGCTATAACTAATGTTTAAATTCTTTTATTTCTTCTATATCTTTGTAATTTGATTTTAGGTGTGAATATAAATATATTTATTATTAATCATTTTTTTTATTATTCCATGCCTTCAGACATGAGAAATATCTAGTTTATATAATAAAATACAATACAATTTAAATTTTAAAAGATAAACAAAATGATTTTGCTATTTGCGGTTGAGATCGCTTTAAATTTTTCTTTAAAATTAATCTAATGGCTAATATTAACACCCTAAATTTAATAGAAAAAATAGGTTCTAAGGGTATGTTTGAAATGAATTTTTAAAAGNTCCAGACACGAGAAATATCTAATTTATATAATAAAATACAATACAATTTAAATTTCAAAAGATAAACAAAATGATTTTGCTATTTGCGGTTGAGATCGCTTTAAATTTTTCTTTAAAATTAATCTAATGGCTAATATTAACACCCTAAATTTAATAGAAAAAATAGGTTCTAAGGGTATGTTTGAAGTGAATTTTTAAAAGTACTTTTATGAATTATTTTTTATAAGTACTTTTTAAAAAAATAGTGTTTGAAACTTTCCCACCACTACCTCTACCACTCCTACCCCCACCACCGCTGCCACCACAATCACTATCGCAGTCGCCACAATCGCTATCGCCACCCTACCATACCCATAACCACCACNAATGAATTTTTAAAAGTACTTTTAGGAATTATTTTTTATAAGTACTTTTTAAAAAAATAGTGTTTGAAACCTTCCCACCACTACCTCTACCACTCCTACCCCCACCACCGCTGCCACCACAATCACTATCGCAGTCGCCACAATCGCTATCGCCACCCTACCATACCCATAACCACCACCGCCCCCACCATCACCAATTCCATTGCCCCACTACCACCATAACCACTACCACCACCATCACCACTTCCACTGCCCCACCCGCACCATCCCTAATCACCACTGTTGTCGCACATTACCACCACCGCTACAGTCCTATCATCATCCCTATCACCTCCACCGCCCCACCACTATCCCATGACCATCACAACACCACCATCATCGCCAACCCACAACCGCCACCCTCTACCGTCGCCACTGTCCCACCTCTACCTCCACCCCACCCCTCACTGCCTTACCGCCACCACTACCGATTGCTACCATCGTCATCCATGGCCACCACCAACCACTATCGTCATCTTATTTTTATATTTATTACCATTATCATCATCATTCCACTACCACCGTCGCCTACCGTTAGCCCCCCCACAACCCATCGTAGCCCACCATCGCCACTAGCCACTGTCACCTACCCCACCACACCTACCACTACTAACCACCACGATCTGTCATCGCCCACCAATGCAGCCACCCACTGTTACCTACCCCCACCACACTGACCGCTATCGTCATTCGCCACCACCCATCACACTATAACCTAGAAACACCCATCGTCTCCCACCACCACCATCATCATCACTCACCACCATCGTCGTCATTCCACCACTACCATTGCCAACCACCATCACCGTCGTCCACCCATCACCCACACCCGTCACCACCATTGTTGTCATCCACAACTGTCACTACCATCATTGTCATTCAAAACTCACCATTACTATCACAATTGTCACCCCACGACTGCTACCATCACTATGGTCGTCACCTTACCCATCACAACTATCACCGTCTCTCACTATCACCACTACTTTCGCTTACTTTCACTACAATCAGTGCTTAAATTTATTTATCTTTTATCTATATTTGTGATTTGATTTTGGGTGTAAATACAAATATCTTGACTATTTTTTTTTATTATTCCGTGCCTTCAGGTACGAGAAATAATTAGTATATAGATACGAGAGAGAGAGTTTTAATGTTAGTCAAANTATTATTCCGTGCCTTCAAGTACGAGAAATAATTAGTATATAGATACGAGAGAGAGAGTTTTAATGTTAGTCAAATTTCTAAAATTTAAGAGTTATTAATTTTTAAATTTGTTGTAATTAAATATAACTAATGAGGATATTTTAGATAAATGAGATTAAAATAGACTTAATATTAAACAAATTCTTTTAATAGACTTATCACCAAATAAATCTGCGAAGGAGAAGGCCTCCAAATTTCTCTTGAAAAAACTAAGGGGTTTAGGGAGGTCGATACCTCTCAAAAAAATTAATAGAATAAAAGTACAATTTTTAAAATAATTGGGATAGAAGTACATTTGCTAAAAAAAGTCATAAAAGCCCTTTTACCCCTATCATAAATAGTGCATACCTAATTGAATGTGAAACTTTTAAGATTTTTTTTGATATTTGTGTATCATTTGAATTTTAAAATTTCATATATACACAAATATAAAAAAGAATCTTAAAAATCTCACATTCAAGTAGGTATGAACTATTTATGGTAGGAGTAATTATGGAATACATTTTAGAAAGAATTTTAAAATGTGTACTTATTGACAACTATTTGATAAAAAGAGGACTTAAAGGAAAATAAGTTTGAAGATGATACTTAAAGCCAAATAAATTTTTAAAAAAATGATCACATCCAATTATCTCAAAAACTAACCGATCAATTAGCCCATACCTCACTGACCATAGGCCCAATAGGTCCATCCCCAGGACATTTTATATGGCCCGTTTTTCAAGGTCGGGCTTAAAAGTGGACTTGCCTCATTTGAACTTGCCACAAAAATCACACCCTCTACGCACAATGGCGTTCAACTATTTCACGATGCAGTGAACGCTCATTGGATGGTTCTTCCCGGCCGAATTCCACTTGTCGGCCACCGCCACCGCCACCAGCACCGTCACTACCATCACCAGATGAGCGCACTTTGAAGTGTATACTAGATAGAGTCCACACTCAAACCATACTGTGTTCCACCACCATGGTAACCAAATTCGTGCTCCGACCTCACTCTCTCTCCTTCACCTTTCTCTCTTCTGCCCGCTTCTTCCCCAGACCCCTCACTCTCTCTCTTCTCTCCACCAACACCGCCTCCGCAACCACTAATCTCAACAATCAAATTCTCTCCTACGGACCCTCCCTTCACAAAGGACACAAACTCACCGAGCACCACCAACCGCAACCTCCTTTCACACTCTCAGCGGACAAGAAATTACCACAAGAACAACATGAAGTAGTAGAAGACAATTTATTGGATGAAGAAAGCTTCACTCGCGTCTTCGACATAGCCGCCCTTCGAGTCCCGTCCGAGCACTGCTTTGCACTCGAAAGTCGTCTCCGAGGCCACCTATTGAATTGGCCTCGCATTCGCAACATCGCTAGGGTTCCCGGCGACGAAATCGAAGACGAGATTAAGAATTTCCTCAAACACCAAGCTGGTGATTCTGGTTCTAACGATGATGATGATGAACGCTTAGTGTCATTGGAACGGCGAATTTACGGAAAAGCTGAAGGAGACGGTGGGCCATTGAGTCCAGTGTTGTACAGAGACAAACTAGCGAAGACGTTTAATTCGAGGGNAACGCTTAGTGTCATTGGAACGGCGAATTTACGGAAAAGCTGAAGGAGACGGTGAGCCATTGAGTCCAGTGTTGTACAGAGACAAACTAGCGAAGACGTTTAATTCGAGGGGGTTTGTGAATTTTCGGAATTTGGCTAAATTGTCGAGGCCGAAGAAGAAGAAAAAGAGGAATGAGGATGGGGAGAGGAGAGAGAAGAAGGAGAGCAGGAGGAATGAGATGGCTGCGGTGGTGGTGGTTGAGGAAGAGGGCGATGGGGAAGATTTGAGTGGGCTGTTGGGGGAAGAGTACAAGGGGAGGAAGTGGAGGGGTTCGACGAGATTGGTGCTTTTGGATGAGCGGTACTCTAATAGAGTTGCGGAGGAAATGCCTGAGGCAATTAAGGTGGGGTGGATGTTTCAATAGTTTGATTCTCTGTGAGTTGCTTATATTTGAGTTTCATTTGCATAAACTCTAGTTATGAAATCCTTGTACCAGGTTGGTCTAGTAATTATGGGGCGGTCAATTGGCCCTCTATGTGCACATTGTATAACTGATGACTCTATATTGTTCTTGTCTTGTTAACTGTTACCCAATTGGCCTTTGTTATGAGGACCATCTGCTTGATCTAATATGCGGAGAAGGAGCTCAAATTGAGGGCTGCATGTGTGTTTTTTTGTGAATAATAATCTTGTGGAGCGTTGATCCAGTTAGCAGTCACTTGCTCTATCAAAAGATGGTGTTTGCTTTATTGAAAAGATCTTCATTAATGATGTTTTTAGAGAGATTCTCCTTTGTTATGTTTTTGTCATTGTTACATTGGAATTGGACTTTGCAGGTTGGTATGAATGTCACCTGGTATAAGGCATCCTTATACATTATTAACTTTTGGGTTAATTGCTTTTTACCTTCATATGATTTTAGTTAGAAGCACCATACTTACTTGACGTTTAAAGTTATGCACCTTACCCCCCCCCCCCCTGTACTTAAGTACCAAAGTGAAATGGTTACTTTTATCATCTAAATTAACGGAGAGTGTGCTCCACACGTCTAAAACGTGTTGTGGGCTTTGTTTCCCTTCAAAAGAATATTGTCTAACTGGATAAAATTCCCTTTATAATAATATGGTATAATACTTAAATAGGTAGGGCATAGGTCACAGATCAAAAAACATGTAAGAAAAAATAAGTAATTTTTGGCCCCGGATCAATACCTCACTTGATCTGGAAAAAAGAACCTCGACATGTTTGATTGAATTGTGTTGGTTTATTGTCATATTCCATTAGTTTTATAGTCAAAGAGTAAATCAAACGAAAAGTCTGATTTTAAAATGTGGGTGTTATGATCATTTTTTAATTTCGTTAACGACGTCAATTACTTCATTTTAGTATATAACTATAAGGTGGTAATGTGCATAATTTTAAACGTCAAGTAGGTAAGGTACTTTTACCCAAAACCACTGGGGATAAAAAAAAATTAACCCTTAACTTTTTAAGTCCGGTAGGATTTGAGCCTACGACATTGGGTTTTGGAGACCCACGTTCTACTAAGCTGAACTAACAACACTTTCTCATCATATCACTGTAGGTACAACTATAAATAAAATGATTCTTTTTGTACCCCCAATACTTCTTGCATGCATAAAGTCTCATAGTAAGATGGAATATTTATCAAACAAAAAGAGTGTAATATGAATGAACTTTTTGGCTAGTGATCCACAATCCATAGTGCATTCATTTGCGCAGGATTAATTTGAATTAGAATTTTCAAGTCATTCATGTAGTTTGAAACTATTGTAACGGCATGGATACATTTATTATGATAGCATACCTGATATTCAAATTGTGTTCATCAGGCCGTGTTAATAGAAGGTGGTAAGAAAAGTACAACATCAACATTTGAACTTGTGAGATGCAAGCTTACTTTGTTTTATAGTTACTGGCAGAAGAATGAGGTATATCTAATTCAAGCTCTACTGACACTAAGATGCCTGTCTTTCATGCCTTTTTTCCTGCTGCTGTCTCAATATGTTTTACATCTCTCTCTCTCCCCCGCATGCTTACCCCATGGCCCTTTCCAATTCATTTGCTTTTGTATGAATTAGAATTAGAATTATGTTGTTTCTACTGACTTGGTCTTTGGTCAAATAGAAAGTTGTCCTTTAACCTCATATAAACATTGACATGCTGGAGGTTCAATGTGCAGTACTGGATACTTCACTAATTACATATTGATCAAAAAAACACTAATATGTCAAGAACCAAATGGTGACCCGAAGGTAAAACTGCAAATAGATGAGCTTCTGAGAAAGTGAAATGTAAAATATATGGTGGATAGAGCTTCATTGACAATAATTAATTTTCTTTGTGATTTTGTTGCCCTGGATAACCCATAGTGTCAACACCATAGCCTACTAGGAGTTAACCCCTTAGTGGGGCTAAGACAGCTGGTGGTCACAATGCCGAGATACTAATTGACATAGATATTTCGTCTTGGTGTGTCAAGAAATTGTGATTAGAATAGTGTATTGCGCTATGGGATGATATTTTTCTTGTTGCCAAAATTTGGACAACAAAATATTGAATATGACAGACATTGTCTAGTGGAGGCTTCTTGTATGTTTGGGCTTGGGCACTTATATCCATCACGTGCATGCTCTGTGTTTAGATGATTTTTATCAATTGCATTCCAAAGGACTTCTATCATTTCTGCAAATTAGGAGAATTTTCATCTATGTAGTGGTTTTTTACGTTGCATGATTTTTGTTAAATCTAAGCCAGTGGTTCTTGCAGATCTTAGAGGCTGTGCTACCAAAAGATATGATTATTCCTTCCGCTTTTGAGACAGTGGGGCACATTGCCCACCTGAATCTGAGGGACGAGCATCTTCCATATAAGAAGCTTATCGCGAGGGTAGTTGGTCTACACTATCATTAATTNCTGCTTTTGAGACAGTGGGGCACATTGCCCACCTGAATCTGAGGGACGAACATCTTCCATATAAGAAGCTTATCGCGAGGGTAGTTGGTCTACACTATCATTAATTTTTCGGTTTTGTTCTGAATTCAGTAGTATTCTTGCTAGCTTTTTCTGACAAAACAGATTTTTTTTCCCTCATCAGGTAGTTCTGGATAAAAACCAACCAAAGATTCAAACTGTTGTCAATAAGATAGATGCCATTCACAATGACTACAGAACAATGCAGCTTGAAGTTTTAGCTGGAAATCGTTCCCTTGTGAGTACAGTAGTTGAGAATGGACTGCGTTTTCATGTTGATTTAGCGACAGTGTAAGTTCTCCTTTTCTTATCCTTTGAAAGGTCAACCAAAANTTCCCTCATCAGGTAGTTCTGGATAAAAACCAACCAAAGATTCAAAATGTTGTCAATAAGATAGATGCCATTCACAATGACTACAGAACAATGCAGCTTGAAGTTTTAGCTGGAAATCGTTCCCTTGTGAGTACAGTAGTTGAGAATGGACTGCGTTTTCATGTTGATTTAGCGACAGTGTAAGTTCTCCTTTTCTTATCCTTTGAAAGGTCAACCAAAATTTGATGGAAGTTTTAGTTTCTTAAGATGTGATTGGATGAGGAGCCTGCAGACAGCTGATTTTTGAGTTCAGCCACTTAGGTCAAAAACAAAGAGGTTCAGTTACTTGTTCCTGTTAGCAGTTTTCTCGCAGCTTAGGGGTATGAGGAGATATCTGTAAATTAAAGACAACAATCAAATTGGAATAGGTGGATTCGGCATTCCAAAGTGTAAACTCAGTAAGAGGGGCACGTAAAATGAAAAGTTTAACCACCATCCAATGTTATCGGAGATAACTGCCATGAATTAGGAGGTAATTTGGTCTTCAGTGAAACTTTTTGCAATTTAGTTTATGTTGAACTGGTTTACAATCTATGGGAAATCATCAAGGGCTTGTTTGGATTTACTGGTTTATCATTAATAATTGTGTATCAATTCTTAGGTTTTTAAAGTTGTTGATTTCATAGCTTAACGAAGAAGCTCACTTGAATCTCAAGTCTCCCTTTTTATGTTGCTTTCGCCATGGTTTTCTTATGCCCTGGTTGCACATGTGCATTATACTTGGTCATGTGGACTATTGTTTGAATGCCAAAGTCGAGAAACATAGGTGTAAACATAAAATTATGTAAAGGATTAACTTGATGGGGATCTAATTTCATTTTGTGTGCAGGTATTGGAATTCAAGGTTGGCGTACGAAAGGCAAAGGCTTTTGAATTGCTTTACACGTGATGATGTTGTTTGTATGTTCACCTGTTAACCTGAGTAGATGACTTTAAATTCTGAATCTTGCTTCAACTTGGATCATTGTAGTTAAGAATGGCATAAAAAACTGAATCAACTTTTGTTTCTGATACATAACAATTCAGTTGCATGCTAGTTCGTTTTGTAGTAGACCAGTATTTGCCTTTTCACTCGGATAGAAAAGTGTAGCTTATCTATTTCCCAGAGAGTCCACATTGTTCATGGTATTATTTCAAGTGGTATCGGACAAAATAAAGGGGTTATTGCTGGGAATTGTTTTGCACTTCTCTCAATCCATGAATCATATTTTAAAGTTCTAAATGAGAGCTGAACATAGTATTTAGGAGAGAGAAAAGATAGAAGACGATGATGGAAAGAAGACAGGAGACTAGTTTATTGATATCTGATAATTAAGTGTGCAGTGAGACATATGACATCTTTTCAGATCACAAGGTCAAAGAAAAACTGATGGGATCCACAAGGGANATGGATGAAGGAAAGAAGACAGGAGACTAGTTTATTGATATCTGATAATTAAGTGTGCAGTGAGACATATGACATCTTTTCAGATCACAAGGTCAAAGAAAAACTGATGGGATCCACAAGGGATGGGATGAAACTTCGGTGAAGGTTAGAAGTTGGGGACTAAATTAGGATTATTTGAATTTTAGGATTAGGAGACTTTGGGTCATGGTAACAGTTTCTGGGCACACGGCGGTAAGAGTGCATATATCAGGTCATCCTAGACCTCATAGTTGGAAAAGCCTCGTCCCCTTTTTTTCCTATTGTTATTTGGGAACATTTGTCTCCGTAATGGAAGACTGATTTTCGACAACAAAATTAATCTGTCATTTGCTATATATCATCTTAAACCTGATGTGCTATTCTCATGTTGAAACATTTAATACCTTCTTTGCTGTCTTCCGTGTCAATTCTAATTCATGTCATCTTTACAAAGAATATAGATTTGAAGTTGCTTGCCTGAGTTTTTTTTTTTTTTTGCTGTCTGGCTGTTTTTCTCCTAAATGAATCTGCAACAGGTGATGTGTTTGCTGGGGTTGGTCCCATTGCTATATCTGCAGCGACGAAAGTGAGACATGTTTATGCTAATGACTTAAACCCTTATGCGGTTGAATATCTGGAAAGAAACTGTGTTGTCAACAAAATTGCGAGAAAGATTGAGGTGTGAACTCAGCCACTGTCGTGCAAGTAACAGTGATAGCTTTTACCTTTTGTTTTCCATAGATCAATTGGCCTGAAAAGGAACATGTCCAAGTTTAAAGCTTCAGTCTTTATGTCATACATGATAATATTGATTTTTATGGTTGGAAATTGATGCAAGGATCCTTCTGGTAGGATTTTTTTGCGTCTTGTGCTTGTGATTTTTTGTGCCTGGAGTTTTTAAGCTTCTACTCAAAAATTAGTGACACTAAAGCTCCGAATCATCCTGAATTGCAGTATCCCTGTTTTTGTGAGGAGACTCTAGTTCATCTTAAACTACCACATCAAAGCTAACTATTTCCGTAGTTTTCATGCCTACCGTCATGATCATAGAATTTCAGTAGTGAATTGCTAAGAAGCACGGTCATGGACACGGACACGGAACATTTTTAAAAAAATAGGACATGGATACGTTGGGGACACGCTATAGATAATTATGTGTTATATATAAAATTATATAATTTGTCGCAAATATAGTTATAATGATATACTATTCATAAAAAATTTAGTATTCCATGATAAAAAAATATTATGTCTAATCATCTAATATAAATTTTTGGACTAAAACATCATAGTTGTCAAAGAATTGAATTTTTTTTTTGTAGATGTGTACCTAACATATATAGGTTAAATGATTACTTCATCTCTCAATTCCTTTTGTTTAAAACTTTTATATATCTTTTGTTTTTATTATTATATTTTAAGTACAACTTTAACATGTCTAGTGTTGATAATTATATGTTTTCTCATAGTATAAAATACCTATTAGTCAATTTTTTAAGTTTTATTAGTTNTATATCTTTTGTTTTTATTATTATATTTTAAGTACAACTTTAACATGTCTAGTGTTGATAATTATATGTTTATGTTTTCTCATAGTATAAAATACCTATTAGTCAATTTTTTAAGTTTTATTAGTTGTATGTTAATACATGTTTATTGTTTAATAGTAGAAACGGTTTAAAGAAGTGTCAAACATGTCACCAAAGAAGTGTCGGACATGTGTTCGAAAATTAAAAATTATTATTTAATTATGGACATGGATAAAAGAATATCGGACATGTGTCCAAGGAGTGTCGGTGTCCGACACGAATATGCCACCTTCTTGAGGGTGTTTGTGCTTCATAGGTGAATTGAGATGTGTATTTTATGTCAATATATACAGATAGTACTGAAGTCGATTGAGTTGCTCTGACATCTTTTGTACTTTACCTGTTAATTCTAGGTGTTTAATATGGATGGAAGGAGGTTTATTGATGCTATTTTTGCAAGTCAAAAAGCTGAATTCATTACACAAGTGGTAATGAACTTGCCAAATGATGCAGCGGAGTATCTTGGTATGTTGGCCTCCAAAAGAACACTCTTTCCTTTATTTCCAGTCCTTCATTCCTGAAATTTCTGATTTGATAGTTGCTCGTATAAATTAGTCTTTTATACTATGTTTCTGTTTTCTTTGGTACAATACTTGCACTTTCACTTCTGGGGTAATTTACTTTCACTCAGAGATATGGTAGATATTTGTGGACCAGGAGGCATGGTAATCATTGACATTCTGGAAAAGGACTCGGGTGATTTTAGAAAATTCTGGCCGAGTGTTTGTAGATTAAGCTTCTTCTACTTTCCTTTGTCAAACTTATGTCCTTCCACTATTGCGTCTGTATGTGCTACTTAAGTGTAGTGAATGAAGGATGATGGGATCCTCCTATACAGGGGTTTGTGCAGCTAACAGCAGCCACTTGGGGGAAAAAAGGTGAAACACTTTGCTTTTATTAAACAGAATGGTAGAATATACTGATACATTGCACTAGGGTAGACATGTAGCCGGCAGCCCCTTGTGAATTGTGAGGTGCACTCCTAAATATGATAGCATGGTTTTAAATTTTGCAAATCACTTTTCCAAACTGTTTGATTGGATCTGGTGGAGTTAAGTTAATGGTATTACCAGAGAAGCGTCTTCTATGCAGCTCACAAATAAGACTTCCACACAATGTTAGCATGCCAGAATTTTCTTCATGAGATGGATGTGTTAATGTTAACTTATTTTATGANTCTATGCAGCTCACAAATAAGACTTCCACACAATGCTAGCATGCCAGAATTTTCTTCATGAGATGGATGTGTTAATGTTAACTTATTTTATGAAGGTCACTCCAATAGGATGACTCTGATTGATTGAAGGATTTTAGCTTGCTCCTAATGCTAGAAACCTATTATATGGGACGGTTTTGTGGTGTGGCTCTATTTGATCATTGTTTTGACGATTGAGTACCTCTTGATTTGTCGGTGCTGTACATATAACACAGCATGTGGTGAATCACTGCCCTTTGCTCAACTATTCCCCATCTGTTGCAGATGCATTCAAAGGAATACTCAGTAGACCACCTAAGAATAANCTTCTTGATTTGTCGGTGCTGTACATATAACACAGCATGTGGTGAATCACTGCCCTTTGCTCAACTAGTCCCCATCTGTTGCAGATGCATTCAAAGGAATACTCAGTAGACCACCTAAGAATAAAGAGTTCACCTTGCCAAAGATTCATGTTTATGGATTTTCTAAAGCTCAGGATCCAGAGTTTGAATTCCTTGAGGTATTGTTTCTTCTTAAATTGTGATTTTTGCAGGGCTGAGTAAGTTAGCTATAAACCTCTGGTGTGCACTTCTTTCTTCACCTTTAAGGTTCCTCCTTGGTTTTTGTTGATCAGCGGATTAGAATTGCAATGTCAGAGGCGCCATCTGAGGTAGAAATGCATAGAGTTCGCCTTGTTGCACCTGGAAAATGGATGCTTTGTGCATCATTTTTCCTACCTGAGACTGTGGCATTTGCAAAAGCAGTGTGATAACTTTAAGTTATTTTGGGTTTAAAAGCTGAAGGGGTCCGTAAAACTCCTATTTTGCATATAGCATTCAATTTGTTTTATAAATCATGATTCTTTATATGCCGAACTTTGCCAAATTGGTGTCTTTTACTTCCATCATAATTAACAGAGTCAAGTGGAAACCATCCAAGCCGCAACTATTTCTGGTGTCTGCACTTGGTACCTAATTAATAATGAGTAACCTGATATAATGATGACACGCAGCTTATAATTGAAAGCTGCGTGTCAGTTAGCTAATAAACCGGCACGAGGAAAGCTAGCTTGACGATAATCACTTATCTATGGAGTCGGGGCCGCCAGACTCTGGTGGACAGATGCAATTATATGTAAATTACACATATGATTTAAGTCATATTTATGTGCTTTGAATAACTCAAACTCAAGACGTGCGGATTTAGTCTCTCTTTGTTGGACCACTAAATCAAAATTAGACGCATTCATCCTGAAAAATGTAACTATTAAGGTTTGGTATGCAAGTATTTAGGACCGTGTTGTGGGTGTTTTCAAAATGACAATGACATAAAGCGCGTTGTAATAGGTTGAGATTTATCGTTGTTTAAGGTTCATTATAAACATTTTGGTATTATACCATTAAATTTTGTGGGTTGAGATGTTAGTTTTTTGGTTTATTTACAAAAAAAAAAAAAAAAAAAAANTTTTGGTATTATACCATTAAATTTTGTGGGTTGAGATGTTAGTTTTTTGGTTTATTTACAAAAAAAAAAAAAAATTGGGTCATGTTGCAACATTTATGGTTCAACATACAACCTTTTAATTATGATTGATCGCAAGTGATCCCGAAAATTATAAATTATGGTCTTCAAACTTTGTAAATGTTCCTGTAAAGACCTCTAAAATTTGTAAATTACCCTCAAAATTTATAAAAAAAAAAAAAACCACAAAACTTATAAATGGCGGTATGGTAGTGAAATATTTTTTTAGTCTTCTCCTATTTTCTATAAAGATCATAATTAAAAAGAAAACAAAGGTTAAACACAGAGGATGGTTGATTTGACCGTTTTACCCTTACCATTCATGGACTCCTGCTTAATTGCTCGAGTGTCCCAGACATGTCTCGGACATAAGTTACTTTTTAGACTGAGCCATTGTTATTTATTGTCTCATACAACGAACAAGTTGATAGTGACTTGTTTTATGCATGGAATAGGTCAAGTGTACGTACCCAAGAAGTTATTGTAGAAGACATGCCAATATCTATTCTATGATATGGTGATCTTCCTCTTCGGACATTCTAGATATATCCCCAACCCACAGTTGTTTGATACTGATCTTCCACGAAATCCTTGTACAATATGTGGGTGGGTCCCTTCTCTCCTTTGTGTCTTTTTACTCTGACGGGCCCTACGGTATTGTAGGGTCAGTAAGGCATCTTGATATGTGTTGAGAGAGAGAGTCGTGTATACTGTGTGTGAGAGACTAATATGTGTGGCATTTGATTTTCTTCTAATCAGTCTGTTTGGAATTGGTTTTTTTAGGTGAAAAGTTATGATTTGGAAAGTTTTGCAAAAAAGTTAGAGATAAAAAATCTCTTAAAAATTGTTTGAAGTGTTCTTTAAAAGTTGCAAAGTTCAAAAAATCTATTTGGAATAATTTTTTTAGCTTTTTCTGTGTCAAATAAAAAAATAATTCCTAAAATGGGTTAGTTTGAAGCTGACTTAAAATTTTAACTTTTTTTTTGGTTTTAGAGGAAAAAAGTAGTTAGATTTGTTTAAACTTGGGCTTATTGGGTGATTTTTTCATCAACTTTTTGGGTAAAAATAGTTTTTATCAGCATTTAGGAAAAATTGAAAAATGAAGCTTATTTAAGAGCTTTTAAGGAAAAGTTGAATTTTTCAAAAACACTCTTAACAGTTCTAAGAGTTTTTTTTTTAGAACTGTTCAAACCTCTATTTTGTACCTAAAAACACTAGTTCCAAACGAGTTCAATATGAATTTTAAAATTTTTATTTGTCATTAATAGTATTTTATGAATATAATAAATTTAAAAGTTATGTGGGATCTTTGACAAAATTCTAAAATGCTAAAAAAAAAGTTCATAAAATCAATTTCTTGAATCGGTTTAAATATTTCTTTAGGTATAAAAAGTTGTATAAGTTGGTAAAAAAGTTAAGGTCCAAACGAACTTGATTTATTTTACTCTAAAATTCTTAATCTACCTACTTAAGCTAAATCCAAATAAGTCCGATGTCTAAGTCTCAAAATTTATTTATTTTATACTTGATTCACATATTCAGGTAATGTGTTCAGGTGGATTTATGTTTATCTGAGCTTGTGTTTACCTAGCATCAACCGGGTCTGATGGGTGGACCCATTTATGATCAATCTCCTTTAATATTAATTATTAAATACATTTTTAGCTAATTTGGTGTCAAGTTCAAGTGAGATATATGGTTGTGGGGAGAGAGAGAGAGAGAGAATCAGTTCTTATTCAGGACCAAAGCTGCATTAAAGCTTGTGCAAAAAATAAGCTTTGGCTATTTAGGCAGAAGAAGAAAAGGTTTCACACAAGTTGAATAAAGCCAGAAGTAACCGTTACTCTAACCCCTGGTTTCCTTATAGCAACCCACTAGGAAAACAGCAATGCCCACCCACTCCCTTATTTCACATTACTGACTGGCTACTAGAAAAGAGAGAACCGAGTCGGACGGAGAAAAAGCAAAAAGCAACATCCCCTACATATATTACAGTAACTTCTAGTGGGTTCGTCTAGTGAACTCCCAGGTTCTATTGGCATCTGAAGAACACATAAAATAGTAGTTAACCTAAGCAGATATCGATTTTTTTTTTTTGTGGGTCAAATACTATTAAAGGAAAGAGTATGACAAAATTGATATCCGTGATCTTAAAATTTAACGGTAGGATGTTGGTCATTAGAGCAATCGCTAAACTTATCATTTTTGATAATCTAAGTAGCTGCTCATTTTATTTGAATGACATTACAAACTTTATACCTAATGCTGAATGGTATTTAAACACCAGCATTAAGCAAAAGCTGATACTGACAATATGACCAAATAGAGGCAATCTGTGGTCAAGGCTTGATCTGTTGTTACATGTAGGGCGTAGGGACCGATAGGAAACCCAGACCGCGTGACCCAATGTGCGCTCTCTCTCTGTGTTTGGGGTACGGACAGGCGCCGTCTCACCACACCATCGCCTTGATTAGCCTCGTTGTTTCTGGCTAATTGAGGACTGCCACGTTAACATGTGGGCCCGACTTTTCAAGTATGGATCTTTGATCTTATCTAGATTCAGCCAAAGCACAGGTAATATGTCGTGTTGGGTTTGACGCAAATATTATGAGAGAGAGAATCTGAGACGGTTGTTCCCGGTGGGGACCAATGGAGTGGTCCCTATTCTAGCTAGTTCGTTGGGGTGGCGCTGTAGGAGATCTTTCCCTGACGAGGAAGAAATGTATTCGAGAGATTGGTTTTGTACGGACATAAGGCGGCTGCAAATAGCGACGTGTGGACTGCGTTGGAAGGCGGTTAGGTGAGACGTGGCAGGAGCGGAAAGGCGGTGTTTTGTTTTTCTCCTAAAATTTTGGATAAGTTATAATGATACCCCCATTATTTTTGATATTTGCATTATACTTCCTTGTTACGAATGAAATTACACTGACATGCCTGCGTATGTGACTGATTATAACACGTTTTCTCTTCAATTTATATTCAATATTCGGTCAAAAACTAAAGTCAACTTGCCACATATGTTTATGTTGATATAATATAAGCATTAATTTATTATTTTTCCCGTTGAATAATTATTTGAGGTTTTTTTTTTTCGTTTTTGGCCACAATTAATATTGATCTTACATATAAAGTTGCAAAAAAATAAAAAAAATTCAAAAACGAGTTGATATAAAGGATATTATGGATCAATTTTTTATTTTTATATTTTTAAAAGAAACAAATAGGGTGGGCAAAAGAGTTTAAAGCATTTGCTAACTCCATTGAAAAAGATTTCACTGATGAGTAATATAATGGTCTGTTTGGTAGAGAGGACAATTGGGTGGATGAAAATTGAATGGAGGAAAATGGAAAGGAGAGAAAGCATTTTCATTGGTTGGTATGAAAGAAAAATATGACTGAAATGAAGGTTAGGAAGAATCCCTTTCCCCTCATCCCACCAATTTTTTTTTCTCTAAAATTGGGCAAAAAATGAGAGAGAAAAGATGGGCTTTGGGCAAGAAGATGATAGTTTTACCTTTTTAACCTTTGTTGATTTATAATTATTGATTGTAAAATAATAAAATAAAAAATAAAAAATATAATAATTTTACACATATGATGCTTTTATTGAATTAAAAAATAAGATACAGTACCAACAAATAGCATTCTGATACTGTAATAAGACTCGCCACAATGTTTGATTAATTTTTTGTGATAATTTTTTACACATAAGACGCCTTGATTGCCTGAAACAAATCGCATCTCTCTTTGAATAATTTCAAATCTTTAAATTTTTTAATAATATAAAAAAATAGTTTTTGTGTAAGAGTATAATGGTAAATTAAGTTTCTGCATGTTTTATTTCTTTTCATTTTTCTTCCAAAACCAAATTATAAAAAAATAATCCCCAACTTTCATCTATCTTACTAAACAAAAGGAGAGAAAATGTATTTCTTTCCTTTAAGGATGAAATTTATTTCTCTTACTTTTTTATCCCTCATATTTTTGAGGAAAAATTACTAATTAGTATTACTTTTTCCTCCAAATATCTATTAAGTCATATCATTTTTTTTTATATCAATTAAGTCTTATTTTTAATATTTTATTTCAATTAAGTCCTAATTCTATTATATTCTAATTTTATCCTTACCTTTTAGTCACCAAAGCTCTTTCATACTTTTGTATTCTTAAAATCAATTAATAAAATATTACAAATTCTACATCAATATTAATTTAAGCTAATTCTTACCAAAATCATATTCTATTAATTTATATTATATTTAAAATGATTTAGGGGTTTATTTTAGTTGTTGTGTTTGAATCGATAACGACATTAAAACAGAATTAATCGATAAATATTATCGACGTAGTTTTTTTAAACCTTTCTTATTTTATTAAATAATTGACAAATATTGTCTTGAGTTTTAGGATTAGGTCCCCTAATGAGGTAAGAAAATAAGAAAATGTGAGCTTTCTTTGAGTCTTACCATGAAGTTTATGTTAGCTGAATTTTTTTTATGAGGTTTCAATGTTAATTTTGTAATCAAGGAATTTTTGTCCTCTTAATTGATTTTAAGAATACAAAAGAATAAAATGATTTTAGTAACTAAAGGGTAAGAATAAAATTGTAATATAATAAAATTTAGAACTTAATTGAAATAAAATATCAAGAATAGGATTTTATTGATATAAAATAAAAATGATAAAACTTAATAATTTTTTGTGAAAAAAAATAATATTTATTGATGTTTTTTTTTAATTTTCTATCCGTCGTGTCAAACGGATCATTAGTGTTATTTTAGAACATTAGGCAGTACAACGAAGATGTAAGAAACATTGTGGGACTTTCATTATACTTTACCCTTAAAAATTTGAAGGAAAAAAGGTAAAGTATTGTTTGGGTGTCATACACCGGAAATGGGCAGACACGGTGGATTCTGGGCTTCTGATAAGAAGATCACGCTCTGCATGGAATGATTGGGATTTGTGCATTACTGAAACGATGCCACTGCTACTGCAGCAATTTGTATGTAGTGTGATTCCTCCTAAAGGTTTGGGGGGACCATTTCACACGTATTCATTCACACCTTTTTTTTTTTTGTTATTATGGTGAGAATTGTTGGGAGTAATTTTTGTGCATTTGAAGTAATTTTCTCTTTGATCTTGTCAATACCATACTCTTCTCCCTATGTCACATGCACTTACACTTAGTGATGACAAATGACCAATTCTTACTCATATGATTGCTAGCTGCTTTAAATGTTAGGGGACTAGAAGTAAAGACCACCGCGCGTTTGTCAGTGTGAGATTGCACGAAGGTGTTTTGAGTCTCATATCAAACATTTTTGAGAATTATTCGAATTTTATGAGGGGGAATAAGTAGCCCAAATATGACCAATTAGTTCTTTTGATAGGAAAATACAACAAAAAGAGATAAACTAATTATATTTAAACACAAGAGACGAAAAGGTAATCTGGATGGAAGTAGCAAAAAGAGATGTGGTCATATCAAATCTCCTAGTGTATATATTGAGGATCAAACACAAGCAGGACAGGCACAGTCCATGTTTTTTTGCATTTCTCAGTGGTAGTTTTGGTTGGTTCTCTGCACAAAAGCACCCTCTTTCTCTCTCCTCCTCCTCCTCCTAATACACCCTGCTCTCTCTCTCTCTCTCTCTACAAGCTATCTCTTCCTTCCATGGCTACTTCAGTTTTCATGGTATGTGATCATGAAACCAACACTAATGGGTCTGAGACGCCAATGCCTGAAATGGTCAAACAGAGTGGAAGAAAGAAGTCCAAGTCCAACGAGACTACTCAGAAGAAGCAGCCCCAGAGAGGTATGGGCGTGGCTCAGCTTGAACGGCTCAGAATGCAAGAGTGGAAGAAAATGACTCAGACCACCCCACAAACCCCACTTCACTCTATGAATCTCCAAAACAACGTCTTTCTTCCTTCTTCATTTGCTGGTCCATCGGCCATGGCCGGTGTTCCGATACAGTTTGCTAAGTATGGTGGCTATGGCGTCATGAATGGTTTTGGGCAGTCAAGTTTGAGCCAGACTTTGTCGCTTCAAAGGCTTGGACATGGCGGGTTTCATGGACCGGTGGGTGGTTCTTCTGTTTCAGGGTTGGTTTCTGATCAGTTTGAGTTGGATCCGTACGGCGTTGGAGCTCCAAACTCGAGCTTTCTGGTTGGGAATGCCGTGGAGACCTCGAAAGAGCTCTCTTCAATGCCAAACATAAAGGGTTTCTCTGAACATTGTGGTGTTTGCCACAAGGTATATAATTGCTTTGACTAGTTTCTCAAAACTAGATTTTACTTGGGCTATTCCTCATATGACCATAACTATATGAAAGTTTTTTTTTTTGGTTATTGGTATATTTTTTTGTTGTAGAAAAAGCGCATGAATGGTGAAAATTTGGGCTGTAAGGGAGTGAGAAACATGTCAGCAGCCAGGTCCCCGATCAACGGGTGTAGTTTTGCAGGATTCAATGCTGAAACCAAACAAAACAAAAGTGAAGGGAGTCAAGATTTCTTCATGAAAGCATTTGGCCAGGCCGGTTATGCAGATCAAAATACTGGGAAGGTGAACACTAAAGACCTCCTAATGAAAGAAAATCATGACAATATTGATTTTTATTTGTCTTACAAGTCTAATGTACATTTGTGTATCTCATCTCATGAGTGTGTTTGTGTCCAAACAAAATGGGTAAAAAGAAACAAATTTTTAATTCGTTTTTATCGGTGAAAATCTGTGTGTTCTTCTTCTTCTTCTTCTTATTTTTTAAATAGTTTGGTTTGATTGTGTTTGTGTCTGATCATTGATGGGTATTGTAGGAGTTGGAAGTGGTGGCAGTCCACAGGAAGGAAAGTTTGGGTGGTCGAGGCATGTTCATGGAGTATGAATTCCTTCCGGGGAATGGTGGCAGGGGCACTTCTTTCAAGGAGCTGACCAGTCTCGGTTCAGAATCTTCTTCAGTTAATGCAGCAGTGGGTGGTGGTGAAGCTTCTTGTGTCACTGCTACAACTAGTTCTACTGATGTTGGTCTTGATGCCTCTACTTCCATTGATTTGTCTCTCAAGCTTTCTTATTAGCAGGAAAAAAAATGGTCTCTTTTTTGTTTTTGTCTTTTCACTTCTTTTGTGAAATGCATGTGATCCATGATGCAAAACACAGAATTTAGCTTTCCCCTTTTGTTTGTCAAACTGTTATCACCTCCAAAATGGAGCAATACATGTTCTGGTTTCTTGGCAAATGCTTCTCTCTCTCTCTCTGAGATTGTCTGAGTTGTTTTAATTTGCCTCAGCTTTTGTGATTTTATAACTGGTTCTCATAGCTAGGATGGGGAGATTATGGCTGTTTAATGATGTCTTTTTTATCTGTGCTGTTTAATTTTTGACATTTAATGTTATTTTACTGGCACATGATCAATGCTAAATCTAGATGTTACATAAACACAAAACCCTAGTGCAATTGACAAACATGTTTGATGGATTCAATAGCCACTGTGATCTATTTGACCTAAAAATGGATGAACAATTAATGGCCATTGAAGATCATTGTCACAGAAAATCTCTTGGGATCAAGGGAAATAGCCTGAATGGTATTCAATAAATAGTTGTAAGTTGTAACTCTTCTGGTGACAATTTTAACTCTGGTTAATCTGGTTCATTTTTGCATACATTCATAAATAACTAATCTGAATGTAATCATAAAAAAAAAAAAGAATGTAATCATGCAATTATCTCATTTGATTAAGAGTAATATGGTGCAAAAATAAGATGAGACAACTCCTTCGTTTTTTTTTTTCGAATTCTTTGGAAACCTTTAGGCAGCTGTAAACAAAGAGAAAGGGAAAAATAACATGTAACCTTCAATCAAGGTTATGTGCATACAGGTAGTTCTATAGCACTATATCAACAATAATAAGATGCAAGTTGTGTATCCGTTTATCACCACAAACCATCACGGTGGTATATTCTAGCATTTGCCTGATTTGTGGCAAATTGACAATAGTCTCATTCACCATTTTACTTGATATTTTAAACTACGAGCTTGGTTTGGTAAGTTGTTGGGGCTTTGGGCAATTTATTCACCTCTCGCCTACCGTTAGAATTTAGACTTACATACAAGTTGCATTTCGAACTTGACTCGAAAGTTTAAGTCTATGCTCTGAGTGGTTTGTTCTAAACTTCGTAACTTAAGCGGTTTTGTTTCCTTCATAGTCTAATATGGGATGCCTTTTTGCCCTTCACATGTAGGTTCCAACAGCTAGCTACCAACTTTCTATATTGTCAAACTCAAAGCTCATTGTATTTCATGATCACTTGAAATGTAAAATTACTTGAAATTCTTTATCCATTTATTATTTTGGCTGATGATCTATTTTACATAGTGGTTTGTGTTTTTAAAGAGTCACGGATTCTGTTGAAAATGTTAAATTCTATATTGTTATTTGAATGAAATCCTCCGAGAACTTGCATACAGGATAGAAAGTAGAACCCAACCTTTACTGCTACCCTAAAAACCCTAGCAACTCAACTCTCTCTCTCTCTCTCTCTCTCTGTAAAAGTAGAGGAGGGCTTTTTCTGTTATAGAGTATGTCTGTGTCTTTTATGTGCTGAAACACAAGGGATGCATCTCAGAATTTTCTGTTTATAGGAGTCAGGAAAGTCCTTTATGAGTGCTTCAAAAATCGTGAAAAAAGCTATAAAAACTGAAGCCAAATGAGCAGCGAGTACAGATGTGTACATAAGCTCCTCCTCAAGTATCTAACGATGTGGCTGTAACCACAGACCAAGGGTTCACAGTGGGTAGCTGCCGCTGCTGGGTACCAGGCTATATGAGCTCTAGATATATATATATATATCTCTGCAGGCAGCAACAGTAATATCTGTAATGAGTGTAAATCTGCATGAGACTCTGAGTAGAACTAAGGCTGTGGAAGCTTTTCCAAATCTTTTTGATTGGGTGCTCAGTCATCCGACAGTTTTACAACTGACCAGCTTTTTTCTTTTATATATAGGTGTGTGTGTAATCCTTTCCTTTTTGTTTTAGAAAAAAAATAAAGGGAGGTCAGGGCTCCATTATCATATTGAATTGGGTTCCTCTGAAAAATTGGCTTTCATTACTCATCTTGAGTTTAAGATATGGCATAGATATTTAGGTTTCTCTACCTAATTCTGATTTTATTTTTTGATTTTATTCTTCAATGGCGCTTAAGCCATAGCTCCGTTTGGTGGTGTGCCCATTTATGAAATAGACCGTGACAATATGTGACATGTCAGACTAGACAAAGGTAGATACGTGGGACTTACGTCAGCATACAGGTGAAGTTGCTCGACCGGAAGAGACATCATTTGATGGAGAAGGCTACGGTTCGATATCATACCGAAAATTTTAAATTATAATATTAATGGTATGTTTACTAAATTTATGATATATTTATACAAATTGGTAGACAAGACAAGACATTGAAATAATAAGACAAGACATTGAAATGATAAGACAAGACATATTTTTGAGCTGTCATTAAGTCAATTGAGGACAAAATTACAATATTAGTATAAAGTTTACCACTATAGTGAACAAAATTACAACATTAGTGAAAATTTTACAACAGTAGTGAATAAAATTACAAAATTTGTGGGAATATTTACCAAATTTGTGGGAATATTTATAACTTCAGTGGTATATTTACCAAATTTGTAAAAATATTTACAACTTCAGTGATATGATTACTAAATTTGTGAAAATCTTTACAACTTTAATGGATTCAAATATTTATAATTTCATGGGGAGATTTTATCGATCATGGATAGATTTGATCGATACACACTTGTGTGTGCTTAATTTATTAAATTTGTGAGAATATTTACAATTTCAGTGGTATATTTATCAAATTTGTGGGAATATTTACAACTTCAATGGTATATTTACCAAATTTGTGAAAATCCTTACAATTTTAATGGATTCAAATATTTACAACTTTATGGGGAGATTTGATCGATCGTGGGGAGATTTGATCAATCACAAATTTATTGTTTTTCAAAAAAATTTGGGGGAGACTACTTCAACCTTGCGATAGATCACAAGAACGTAGGATAGATCGTAAATATTTTGGAGATAAAAAAAATAATAATTTTGATATATTCTAAAAATTAATAATAATTGCCACTTTTATTTACCACTTTTATAGGAATATTTATAATTTGAATGAATTCTTTATGTGAATAATTACAATCTCAGTGGTATGTGTTATCAAATTTATTTGTTTAATTGATCTATCAAAAATATATTTAATAAAAATTTAATTTTAAATTTTTTAAAAAAAAATAAAATTGAATTTTTATTAAACATATTTTAAAATTGAATTTTGAAAAATCGATCAAATTGTTGTTTGATCTATCAAATTCTTGTGATAGATCATAAACATTCATAAAATTTTTTCCACTATTGTTGTAAAATTTTCACTAATATTGTAATTTGTACCACTATTATGGTAATTTTTACACTACTCTTATAAATTTTTCATTAATGTTGTAACAGAACAATCGTAAAGAGAGAGACAGAAAGTCCATGGTCAATCAAACATATATTTGATCGATCATGGACTAGTAATTAATCTATTGAAGTTGTAAAGATTTTCACAAATTTTGTAAACATACCATTGAAGTTGTTAATATTCTCACAAATTTAATAAATATACCACTGAAGTTGTAAATATTCCTACAAATTTAGTAAGTATTCTCACCAAATTTGTGGTGTAGAGAGACAGACAGAAAGTCCATGATCAATCAAACATATATTTGATCGATCATGGACTAGTAATGACTCCATTGAAGTTATAAAAATTTTCATAAATTTGGTAAATATATCACTGAAGTTGTAAATATTTCCACAAATTTGGTAATTTTATTCACTACTATTGTAAAATTTTTACTAATGTTGTAATTTTGTTCACTATAGTCGTAAACTTTCCACTGATATTGTAATTTTACCCTCAATTGACTTAATGGTGGCAAGAGAGAGAGAGACAGANTTCCACTGATATTGTAATTTTACCCTCAATTGACTTAATGGTGGCAAGAGAGAGAGAGACAGAAAGTCCATAATCAATTAAACATATATTTGATCGATCATTGACTAGTAATGAATCCATTGAAGTTGTAATGATTTTCATAAATTTGGTAAACAAATTTGAAGTTCAAAATCTTTACAACTTCAATGGATTCATTATTAGTTCATGATCGATCAAATATATGTTTGATCGATTTTTCAAAATTCAATTTTAAAATATGTTTAATAAATATTTAATTTTAAATTTTTTTTTAAAAAAATATTGGATAAATTTTAAAAAAAAATTAAAATTAAATTTTTATTAAACATATTTCTGATAGATCAATTACACAAATAAATTTGGTAACATATACCACTGAAGTTGTAATTATTCCAATAAAGAATTCATTCAAATTATAAATATTCCTATAAAAGTGGTAAATAAAAGTGACAATTATTATTATTTTTTAGAATATATCAAAATTATTATTCAGAATATATCAAAATTATTATTATTTTTTATCTCTAAAATATTTGTGATCTATCCTAAGATCTTGTGATCTATCACAAGGTTGAAGTAGTTTCCCCAAATTTTTTTGAAAAACATTAAGTTTGTGATCGATCAAATCTTCCCATGAAGTTGTAAAATATTTGAATCCATTGAAGTTGTAAAGATTGCCACAAATTTTATAAACATATCACTGAAGTTATAAATATTCTCATAAATTTGATAAATATATTACTGAAGTTATAAATATTTTCACAAATTTGGTAAATGTTCCCACAAATTTTATAATTTTATTCACTACTGTTGTAAAATTTTGATTAATGTTGTGATTTTGTTCACTATAGTCGTAAACTTCCAACTAATATTATAATTTTGCCCTCAATTGACTTAATAGCAGTTTAAAAATATGTCTTGTTTTGTCATTTCTATGGTTTGTCTTGTCTACCAATCGGTATAAATATACCATAAATTTAATAAATATACCATTAATGTTGTAATTTTAGAATTTCAGTATGGTATCGAAAATACCCTTGAATGTACCGTAGCCTTCTCCTCATTTAGTGGAGAAGTAATGATGAGAAAAGGATGACAGAGCCCTGGGGGATGTCACTTAGGGTAATGTGGGAGAAGTTGTAATAATGTCGAGAGTCCCCTTGGGGGTGACGTCTCTCGGCCTTATACGATGTCACTCGGGAGGTTGTGTTTGTTTGGAATACATTGGAAAAGTCTACTTAGGAATAAACGAGGAAAATGATTTATGAGGATTCTTATTCAACTATCAGCAAGCGTGGATTCAATGTCCCATGCTATTAGATCAAGCATGATAACACGCTACAATCAATCATGGAAAGATCTTTGAAACTATGACAACGGGAAATGAATACTCCACAAGAACATACGATAGTGTTTAATGCCCGGAGGAGATAGGGTATGAAGTATTTACTCCTTGGTGCGTTGAGTGGCGCCAAACATTTATTGTTGCAGGAAAAGTCCTCCAATATCATATCTTGCAATTAACAATCGGTAGAGACTTAGGCGTCGAAAGATTAATGTCATTAATGCGTGTCTTGTGACCGCATATAAAAAAATCAAGGATCAAGGTCAAAGGAGAATCTGGCTTGATGTTCAGCTTCCTGACAAGGTCAGCGGGACATCCCCGTTGTCCCAAGGATTAACTAATCAGGAAACCTCTTGCCAAAGGAAATCATACGAGATTTCCTTTATAGAGACACCCATGCACCATGAAGGTAAAAATAGTATTTTTAGTCAAAAAAGNTCATACGAGATTTCCTTTATAGAGACACCCATGCACCATGAAGGTAAAAATAGTATTTTTAGTCAAAAAAGTGAGGTACGTTCAACACTTCTTTCACCCTAACACTGAATATTGTTTCACTCTCCTCATAAACTTGACTAAAACATCGGAGGGGAATTGCCGGTGACATCTTCGACCTCCCTTTTAACTCTTTTTCTATGATCCTCATATTTTTTGTCACACTCATACCACAAGGCTACCCTCGAGCATCAACTAAATTGCTGCTATCTCACTATTGTGCAAGAAATCACCCACAACATACTAAAATAGAACCAATCAACATGTAAACTCGATGCAGATATAAATCCCATATAGTACTTTGTTAAAGGTAAAGGATACCACGGGCAGCGTTACAGAAAACATGACCTTTACTCCAAAATCTTTAAGGACTGGGGGTCACCATTTTCTTNCGATGCAGATATAAATCCCATATAGTACTTTGTTAAAGGTAAAGGATACCACGGGCAGCGTTACAGAAAACATGACCTTTACTCCAAAATCTTTAAGGACTGGGGGTCACCATTTTCTTTGATTTAGTTCACAAGGACCAGTGGAAATCAGAGATTCACAATCNTTAATTAAGGGAAAGGGAACCAACCAAACACTACCCTCTCCCTTATTTAGAGTATATACATATGAATGAATATATGTATGTTCATGTGTATGTGTATCTAAGCAAACAACATCTGATTATTATTCAATGAGCCNCACTACCCTCTCCCTTATTTAGAGTATATACATATGAATGAATATATGTATGTTCATGTGTATGTGTATCTAAGCAAACAACATCTGATTATTATTCAATGAGCCATGAATGCTACATAGACCAAATTCAATGCAATAGTTAAATGGAACCCACTTTCTAATTTAATGACTACATTAAATTAAATCTCTAAATTAAGTTTCAATAATATTTTTCTTATTCAATAACATTAGTAATAACCCGTGTCAAAAGACACTTTACACCTAAAAAAACACCGTCACTTTGAAACAGTTTTTCTTTCATTTGCTTCAATTAAAGAAATTGAAATCAATCTAGTCTTTGCTATTTTTTTAAAAAAAAACTATCATAATTTTCTCTAAAAATAGTAACCTAAAAAAATCTCTGCCTGTATACAAAGATTATATATCTCATAATCATACTCAAATCAACACCACAATATTAACCATTCATGTANCTTTATAGAGACACCCATGCACCATGAAGGTAAAAATAGTATTTTTAGTCAAAAAAGAGAGGTACGTTCAACACTTCCTTAACCCTAACACTGAATATTGTTTCACTCTCCTCATAAACTTGACTAAAACATCGGAGAGGAATTGCCGGTGACATCTTCGACCTCCCTTTTAACTCTTTTTCTATGATCCTCATATTTTTCGTCACACTCATACCACAAGGCTACCCTTNAAAAGTACTATGCAATGCAAAAATATCACCAATGAGAAAAAATGAGAGTGCATTAAATAAGTTAACTCATTCAAGTATTGGTCGAATTGCAANAACTCTTTTTCTATGATCCTCATATTTTTTGTCACACTCATACCACAAGGCTACCCTTGAGCATCAACTAAATTGCTGCTATCTCACTATTGTGCAAGAAATCACCCACAACATACTAAAATAGAACCAATCAACATGTAAACTCAATGCAGATATAAATCCCATATAGTACTTTGTTAAAGGTAAAGGATACCACGGGCAGCGTTACAGAAAATATGACCTTTACTCCAAAATCTTTAAGGACTGGGGGTCACANAATCAACCTGAAGATAGGAAATAAAATGAATTAGTCATATTCATAGGACACTACACCAGACAAAAAGAAAAAGAAAAAATAAATGAATATTAATCCAATTCCTAAAGTTGGGATGCTAGATCAGACTTCATAGATAAATTCAATCTTACATAAAATCAATTCAAGCACAAAATCATAATTTTCACTCAAGCATAAAATTCCCTATTCAAGAAAAAAAAAAATCCCATAATCCTAATTCCGATCTATATTATAGCTCCAATTACTCCGAATCTCAATTGAATCCCATAATCCTAAGTACTTTGTTTCAAAACTTTTTTCCTAAATTTCATCAAGTTAATTGAAATTAAANCACCATTTTCTTTGATTTAGTTCACAAGGACCAGTGGAAATCAGAGATTCACAATCTTTAGTGAAAGTGCTCTAGTCTTTCATTTTAAATGTTAAAAACTCATGCAGTGGCCTTTCACAAATGGGTATATTTTGATAGTTAATTAGAATAAATTTGGAGCAAAATTGTGTTACCATTATACGTGGAGTTGTTCTACTTCAATTTGTGGGATAAATCTCCTAATATTTTTGAAAAGCTACCCTCAATGTTAGTTTATTTTCTAGTAATCACATAAAATTAAACAGGCTTGAAGAGAATTTTTTTTTTTTTTTTAAAAAAGTGCTTGAAAACAGACCATAATTTCAAAAAACTAGCCTCAATGTCGGTTTATTTTCTAGTAATGACATCGAAAACATTCTGAAAAAGAAAAAAAATAACTTTAAAATGTTTGGTATAAACCATAGTTTCTAAAAGTTAGCCTCAATGCCAGTTTTTTTTAATAGTAATCAAATCAAAACATTCCCGAAAAGGAAAAAAAAACTTTAAAATGTTTGGAAAGGGGACAAGAGGAAATTCGGTTGGAACCTATTACAACGTGGACGGCAGGATTCGAACCTGCGCGGGCAGAGCCCACATGATTTCTAGTCATGCCCGATAACCACTCCGGCACGTCCACTGATTGGGTTCCAATGGAACAATATTTTATTTATATATATATTATTCTTTTATTTAACATAGCTACATTCTTCATTATCATGCTCTAAATTTCCTCAAGGTGTAGGGTCTGCATGTTTCATTCTAGGGGTGAAATTACAAGAACACTTTTTTTATTTTTTTATGAGAGAGAAGATGGTAGAAAGAAGTCCCAAATTACAACACCACCTCTACAAAAATAAGAAATTGCACATAGTGCCAGAGATGTTGGACAATTAGCCCACTTAACAAAAAAAAATTTAAAAAATAGAAGCCAGTACAAATTTTTAAATCTTTTTATGTCGATAGATTCAAACACAAGTTTTTTATGATCTTAAGAACACATTTTTTAAAAATATAAGGTATGTAATCCAAAGTTAATTTTTTTTTAAGATTTTATAAAACAAAAATGTTTTTTAGGTTGTATATGATGGCCAACTACCTTCTCTTTGGTAGAGATCGAGAGAAGAGAGATGTGATTGACTAAGGTTTGGAGAGATGTGATGAGGTCTAGCTAAGCGTTGCATTGGGTTTTCACCTGAGATTTGATTTGTAGACTCGTGTCTTTAACTATTTATTTGTATTCTTTACTTGTCTCTCCATCTCTCTCTTTTATTGTCTTCATCAAAGCAATTTGAAATTTCTGAATTCAAAAGTTATGTTATAGTGTTGCACAATTTCTGTATGTTTTACTAAGCAAAAAGACGGATTGTATATAATTAGTTCGACGAATTGTCTCAAAAGAAATTTATTTGGAGGATGCCAAGGCATTATACTCTAATAAGGAAGCCTTTAGAAAACTATTCAACAATATAAGAAAGATAATCAAAGACTATTCAGTGTCAATAGACTAAAGAAGCGTAATCAAAGACTATTCAGTGTCAATAGACTAAAGAAGCGAAGTAGAAGGACATTTTTATCTCTTAACATCCAATTTGTCCTTTTCGACCAAATAAAACAAGACTTGGACTTGACGACCCAATTTTCTTTTAAAATGGACCCGACCAAACAAAAATGCCGGGCCAAGACTAGAACTTGGATCATGGGAATCAATGCGTAATGGAAAAGTAAGCCCAGTGAAGAAATGAAATGGAAACTAACGCCACTGAGTCGCCGCCACAAAGGTGATTGCCTCATTCTCTCTCCCATCTCACTCCGAACAAGAAGAAAACCTCTCTCTCTCTCTCTCTCTCTGAGTCAACGATCAAACGGTTAACCAAAAAACCTCTACCACTTGTCACAATGCAGCCACAACATACTCCACTGGAATCTGACCTGCCACCAATTGCCGCCATTAAAGTCAAAGCCTCCGCCCCACGCTTTCCCCCTCCGGTCACCACTCCTTCCTCCACCGAAACCCCAACTGCCAACGCCCAACGCAAGATCGGAATTGCTGTTGACCTCTCCGACGAGTCTGCCTTCGCCGTCAAATGGGCCGTACACCACTACCTACGTCCCGGAGACGCAGTTATCCTCGTCCACGTCCGCCCCACCTCCGTCCTCTACGGCGCTGACTGGGGTTCCGTTGACCTCTCTATTGTCGATACCGATAATCAAGAGTCGACTCAGAAGCTCGAAGACGATTTCGATACTTTTACAACTACCAAAGCCGCCGATTTGGCTCAGCCGTTGGTGGAGGCGAGTATTCCGTTCAAGATCCATATAGTGAAGGACCATGATATGAAGGAGAGACTGTGTTTGGAGGTGGAGAGATTAGGTTTGAGTGCAGTGATTATGGGGAGTCGAGGGTTTGGGGCAACGAGACGAGGGGGTAATGGGAGGCTTGGGAGTGTTAGTGATTACTGCGTGAGGCACTGTGTGTGTCCTGTGGTGGTTGTGAGAGATGAGAGGGACGCTGGAAATGCTGGCGGTGAGCCGGTGGTATCCGTGGCCTCCATGGCTGATGAGGATGAGGACGAGGCGGATTATCACGATGCCTCTGAGGATCGGAAAGGTTAGGTTTTTCTTTTTAACTCTTGTATTGGTTATTAAACTTGCTGTGAAGTTGTTAGAATTCTTTAGTTTTCATGTTTAGTTAGAAAAATTAGTTGTTTACTTACTTGTAAATTGATTGTTTTAATTTCTAGTTGTGTTTCAGAGTTTGAGCATTTCATAATGTAGAACTGATCTATTGAATGGAAAATGTGGCTGTTTTGTTACTTTTTTTGGATGATTAACACTTTATCTATGGGTTAAAGTAGTTCACCGGCAAGTTATGTTGAGTTGGTGCTGGGCATTGATTTTTCATTTGGGAGACTTGTGTAGGGTGTTCAGTGCCAAATTTTCTGAAAAAATATGGGCTAAGGAAAAGAAATTAGATTAGCAGGGCTAATACTTTAAACGAAATTGGGCTAAATGATAGTTGCTGGACATATGCAAGAAGCAAATACCCACTTATGGGTTGGCTGCTGAAAGTGTGGTGGGAGGAGTAAATCCAAGTTTTGCTGCACCCTCTGAAGTTACCCAGGAATCTCCCTGAACTATTTTTTCTTTGATAGGTCTTCTTTCCTTTAAAAGTAATTACCTGTGTGATGCATCTGCCTTTGTGTTTCTAAAATATTGCGAATTCTAAGATTACTGCTTGATATTTCTTTCATGTGGAGATTTTTTAGTGGTTTTTTTGTGTGTGGGTTTCATGTTCTATGTAATTAAGGAAAGCACAGACCTCCATATGTACTTGATACGATGGCGTGGGAATGGAATGACCGATTGTATGTTCATTGTGGTCAGTCAATTTTTAGCACACACTCAAATACATGGGCCCACGACTGTATTCTGCTTTGGGTATGGAGTAGAAGTTTGTATGTTCATAAAGCGTGGCTGATTTGGGCCTTTGTTGTAAATGACTCCATCCATGAAGAGTAAGCTTTCATCTCTGGGTGTAGAGTGGGCAAACATTGGCACTTGTTGTAAGTGCCTGGGCCCAGGACTAATAAGCATTCTGCTTTGGGCATTTAGTGGAGCATTTTATAGAGTCCTCAAACACTGGCACTTGGTTGTGAATGCTTTAGTCCAAAGCTAATAAGCAACATGATGATTAACTGTTAAGCAATCATACTTTTGTATGGATGAAGGAAGCATTATGCTGTCTTGGCATGTCTGATATTTTTGTTCACTTGTGCCATTTTGTGTGGTGTGCCTGGATTTGATGGGGGAATAGTTTTTCTTTCATGAGACATTGAGGGGCCCTTCTTGGAGTAAATTGCTTGACATACAATATGACAATTTTAAGGATGCATAAAATCTGTGTTTTCAAAGAATACGACAATCAAGGTTTATGTATTACTGATAATTCTAGTATCCTAGTTGCAGTAATTTTGCATGGATATTGAGTTGAATATTGAAATTGTTTTGAGTTTCAAACCGACCACTTTTCCTTTTCGTGGTCAGGGTTCTTGTTTTGAGAATAATGAGTTGAGTTTCTGTGTGGCATTCAGGAGTTTCACCTCACAAGATGATTTATGGAGTTGAACTTAATGTCAATATTAATATTGTTGGTTACCAGCTGCAAGTATAGTGATTTCATTACCCCTTTCTTCCTGTGGCAGATACCTAGCTGAAACTTTGATTTCCTGGTGCAATTCTCCTAACTGCAGGTATGTATTTTTTAATTAGAAATGATTTTCTTGATAGATTTATAATAGGACATGCTCAATTGGCAGCCAAACAAAAGAAATGATGCGCGCCTTTTCTTTCAGCATCCGTATGCATTAGTTTTTAGAAGTCTCATCTCGTGTTGCTTCTGCCCTTTGCTTTCTCTGTCGGTTGTAGAAATTGGGGAAGGCCTTGCAGACTCTACAAACTGAAACGAAAGCTGAGCTGTTTCCAATTCATTAGACGTGGTTGGTTGGTGAATTCCTGTATACGAACAATGGTCTCATGTATGTTGATGGCATTAGGTGTACCAGAAAATGTCTTTGCTCCCATCTGTGATATATAAATCATTTGGATGTTAAGAAGAATGTTTATCTAATATGGGACGTTAGTTCTCTTTGTTACCTCATCAGCTACATTTGTTCGTGATTGCTTCTGCCGTTTTATTGATGCTTATATATTGCGATGATGTTTTTTGTTACGTAATGTCACTAATTCATTTATAGTTGAGTCTGTTTGCTGTCCTGCTGCTGACATGAGATCAAATGATATGTGATAACGTTGGCAGGAAATTGGGAAACTCGTGCATCTTCTGTTGGGTATCCTCTTCGGTGCTTATGGGAGTAATCTGTGAAGGACTAATAATATTTCTTTTTATAATGGTAATTGCACAATAGTAATCACCCATAGCTAAGTGAATTACGTGAGTTGGGATATTTTGCGATATCTCTGCCATCGAAGGTGCTTTTATAAATACTAGTTCGGTGTACACATGCGTTACACGTGGATCATTTCAATCAATAGTTGAGTTGTTATTAGTACTTCAGAATTGAGACATTAAGATTCCAATATAATATAACTCAAGATATTAACAAAATTTCCATGTCACGTTTAATCAACTAGTTGGTGTATATGTGCGTTACATATGAATCGTCGTAAGAATAAAATTTTGCAGTCAAAATACACGATTTGGCAGGTGGGACTACCCAAACAAATAATGAGTCACAACCAAAAAAATAGGCGCTGGTATGAGAAATATAATCGACTATGTGAAAGAGCGAGAGAGATAACTAATTCACAGTATAAGACAAGACAACTATAGATATAACGTATTTGTGTATAAATTTTCTATTGGCAATAAATTTTCAACTGCAATTTTTGCATAAAACATTATATATAGCTAAAATGGACTACTAATAAAAAAATCTTGGCTAAAAAATATTATATCACGCTTTGCATGTAACCAGAAAAGTTTATAAAATTAGTAGCAAGAAGTCCCTTGGAAACTTCAGTAAGACAAAGAGAGTTGATACCACTTGAAAATTCTTGCATTATATCTTTCAAACGGTCAAACCTAGTAATCGTTGACCATCATTAGAATTTCTTTCGAATAGAAAAGGATGGACACTATTTAAAAAATTTAAAATGTACTACAAATACATTTTAGAATCGAGAAATCGTTGGAAAGTTGCCGAAGTGAGACAGTTCTAAGTGAATTCCTGAAATAAAGCTTAACAAAGATCAAAAGAAGCTCTGTTTGAGAATAGAATAAAGATAGGAACATATTTTGCTCTCAATTACAACAAATTCAAGTCCGCATTGTAGACAAGGGCATCCAAACCAATCCATGGAAGAGTGGGTAACCAAAGAATATACACAACACAAATACACAATCAAAATTTTTTTGGTGTTGTATCCTAAACCATAACATTTGGAAACATAATTGAAATTTTTTGGGATTGTTTTAAAATTTCAGAAACTTTCTAAGGCTCGGGGACTATTTTGAAATGATAATTTGGTTTTAAACCTTTTGGGGTCAATTCTATAAATTACCAAGTTAAATGGTGGTTAGAAGTATGTGTAAAAGAGTGTAGGAGTCAAAAATGAAGTTCTTTGAAATAAAAGGGGAGGTTTCAATGTTGCAAGCAATTTGTATGAAACTACATAGCATCCAATTCCTAATTTTGGTATTGTTTGCTTATGATTATCTATCACCTGCCCCAATAGTAAATAAGTGACTCGAGTGTCTCTGATTGTGTCACGCACAAGTGCATGGACATGTGATCATCTCCTTGGCCCTCATTTGATTTGTGATCCTCGTTAGTTAATGTTACTCCTTAAGGGTTTCCAAAACACAAGAGGCTTACCCTCAATCAAATTTTATGTCATTTAAGTTTAAATGACAATAAAGCCAAAGTGTCCATACTCCATACAACATCACCTCCCAAACCATTGATCAGTGATACCAAGATTCTTTTTTCCCTTCTCCTCAATCATTTCTCAGCAGTAGCACAATATAAAAAAAAAGCTACAATAGTATAGGAGTTTTACACTACCATCAACTTCTAGAAACGTAAGACCTTAAACACTAATCCAAAATTTGTCAAAGTTCTCACAAACGATAAAGGTTTATGTCCAACAACTTTAAACAATTAACCAGGAATGCCTTTGAGGTGAAATCATTGTTAGGCATTACATACTCCATTTTCTACTGACTCAACTATCCTAATGCCCCTTGTTACAATTGTTTGAGTGATTTCATAAGATTTCAAGTGCTTTTTGGGATTTAGTATAGTCCATACAAATAGTTTTCTTCTTTTTTCAGCTTACAACCCTATTTGAATTAGAAAAAAAAGAAGAAGAAGAAAACCCATGTTTTTCCCCTTCTTTTTCGGGATACGTAGTAAACTCGCACCATGTTGCCCATGGATTGTTAATTTAGTTCACTTTAAGATGAAATGCGAAAACCCTCTTAAGAGTTTCCCTTTTTTTAGTAAGCCATTGATTTTTGGTGGGAGTCGTGGATTCCAATTGATCTTTATGACCCCAGACTCACAATTAATGAGTAAAGTATCATATTTTCTTATTTTAACAAATAGTATAGTAATTATTCAAAAAAAATTCTTGGTGTTCTTATAATGGTCACACTTTGATAACTGACACTCATGAAAGTTTAAAACACTTCCTTTTGACATCTGATTCAATTATTGATCAATGCCAAATATGTATGCATATATAATTTACAACAAATTTGATCACGGAAATAACAACCTCAATGTAGATATCTTCAAGTAATGAAAGTGAAACCAATAGCAACTAGTAGTTCTAAAACAAATACGTAAATTTGTCATCATCTATCTAAAAGAAAAAAAAGAATTGCAACGATTAATAAAGAAAAACAAATATATCATATGTAGATGTAACCTGAGAGAAGGGCGGTAATAGAGTACCACCGTATGACTTCTTCTTCAGTCACACCATTAAGTAAGATTTTGATAGACATGTCTACTCTATAAAAAATTCACAACCCTGGATAAATCATACCAAACATAGACCAATATGGATAAAGTAACAATTCTTTAAAAAATTAACAATTCACAAAATAAATCAGAAATTTACTTCAATAATCACCCACAAAAGAAGCCAAGCATTATAATGATGAACCAACGGGCCTTTGGTCCAATGATATTCCTTAACTTATGAAGACTTTGTCTTCTTGAAGTCAAGGGTTCAAGTCTCCTCTCCCCTCTCCCCCCCCAAAAAAATTATAATGCTGAATTTTTAGTGATTACCTTCTTGACGTTGAACTCCAATCGAGAACCCGACGAAGCAAACGTTGCTTGAATCTTTGATGGGTGCCACTGTTCTTGGGCCATGGAAGGTAAATCTTGGTGTGCCTTGGTAGAATTTGAGAGAATTGAAAGGTTGAGAATGATACCACACTCCAAAATAGAGAATGATACCAAACTCGTACTAAATTCCACAAAATTTAGTCAAATAAACCCATGAAACTTAAGAATAATGGAAAAGTAATACAAAGCAAGGACGATACAAAGATAGAATAAATAAAGAACATATATGTACACGTGTACCCATATCAAAAATTCCGTAATTGGAAGACCTATGATCACCGAAATGAAAAACAGTCGCTACAACCCTGTAACCACATCAATCTTAGCAAGTGCATGTCACAGAATGATTCTTCATGCCTCCAACAGAAACTACCATTGTCTGTCAATCAGAAAATATGAAACCTCATAAAAAAGATTGAGGTCATTTGAAAAAAATTGTCAATATCAAAACAAAAAAAACAAAAACAAGAATACCCAATAACTTAAAATGATTTAAAGCTTGAATTCAATAAGAGAACATCTAAATAGAATTCAATCTAAGGTAAACAAAAAAATTACAATACCCACAAGAATTACAGTTTGATTTTCTAATTGATGCACATGTTGCACATGAATTATTTTGTGTTATAGTTAGTGCTTGAAATTTGGAGAAATACATGTTTATGGTTACTTTTTGAACTGAACAGAAATCTTTTTTTTTTTTTTTATAGTAATGAAGCTTCAAAATTTCCAACAACTTAATTAACCAATAAAATCTGTCTCAGAATTTGTCCCTTAAAAAACCTGGTAAGGGAATTTATCTACAAATACCAGAAATTGGATGTTGACATTTAGAATCTAGAGAGAGAGAGAGAGAGTGATTCTTAGTACAAGTAAAGGGGTAGTCATAAGAGAATCGGTTGGTGCAGTATCAAATGGGGAAGTCAGTCAGTTTTAGAAAAGCTAACAGAGTATTAAACAAAGGAGATGTTTGTAAAACAGAAGAAAAAAAGACAGATTTGCTGGGAAGAAAAGTAAAGGGTTGCTAGAGTTGTAGCTCCATTTCTGAACTTTAATATTTGTTTTTGTGCGTAATTTTTGTTGGAAAATTTTCAATTAAGTTACCCTTTTATATTTGCTTGAATTTGTGTTGAAATAGAGAATTTTTGGATTGAATTTGTTTGATACCTTTTGATGTTTTTCAGCCATTTTTTGCTCTAGTTTTTGTGTTGTTTTTCATGTTCCTGAAGAAATAATTAGTTTTCATATACCCAACATTTATAACCTTCACCCTATCTTCCACCTTTTTGTTTATTGTTTTAACATAAAAACTACTGAACAGATGATGTCCACGGCTGCTAAGGAACTCATCACTTTTATTCATGACCAAGAAAATTACACTGTTCACAAAGCACAAAGCTTATGCCTTCAAGAACCCCACAACCTTTTTATAATATTTCCTCACAATAGACCTACGTATTATAGCTAATGCATAACACTTTGTAACTCTAGGAGGAAGCTTGTCTTGGAAATATACATAATAGTCAGAAACAATCCCAAAAAGATAACAAATGTTTGAGGTTCGGGCAATGGGAAACCAAAGTTTTAGTTTAGGGTGCAATGTGAGAAATCTAATAGTTGAGGGGGCAAAATGGAAAAAGGGTGATAATTCAAAGGGTGCAAGAATAATTTACTTTGTTTTTATACAACACTGTTGACAATACTCATAACAAGTGTTTTTAGAAAGATAATTGTCAAAGCATGAAAACAAAAAAATAGTTTAAATACATATATTTTGGTATTTGGATGATTTTTTTTTTTTTTACAGTATTGTATATTTTTACATTTGATATTAATAGTGAATCGTTAAAAAAAAAAAAA